TTTTTTTTTTTTTTTTGTATCTGTGTCCCACATTTACACTCACAAGAGAAGCATGTTTTTAAATCATGAACAGCAGAGGTGGTACTCAATGAGGAATAAGCCCAGATGAAAAGTTTTTAATCTAGAGGGTTTTAGGCTTTTATTTTGGTAATATGGATCCCAAAAAACACTGCATGAATCAAGCAAATGTGTGACATTTGTCAGAACCCTCATCCGTTTAGTAAGACAAGGTTGGTAACCTATGGTAACAACTATGAAGCTACTGCTTAGCTGTACAGTGTAAACTGAAATGGGTGGGAGGTAACTGTGTGACCTCTCTCTCATCCGTGTGATCACAGTGTGTACTCTGTGGTTTAAATAGATTTCAAACACTTAGATTTCATACACTGTCTACAATGTCTAATAAGTCAACTTCAAATGATGTAAAGTTCTGTACAAACGCCGCCAGTATTTTAAATTTAGTTGCACACTGGGACTGTTGTCAGTCTACACAACTATGTATATTGATCTGGATAGATGTGGATAGAAACGGCACAAAACTCCAAGGCTGCTACTTACTACTTCTTACTTTCTTCCCCATTCTGAAGTTTTGTTCAGCAACTTCAGAGAGACATCTTTAGGCATGTAGAAATGTTCAGAGCACTGAGTTGCTATCAAGCAAATGGCTAATTAGGTAACGATAACAAGCATTTTAGTTGTGTCTAATAAAGAGGCTTGTGAATGTGTTTCACACATATTGTAACTTTGCTTAAATTGTTCAACTTTTTGATTCAATTCTGTTTTATTCATACAGTGCCAAATTACAGTTACCTGTATTGTAAGGTAAAGCCTCCACAATAATGGAGGGAAAACTCCCAACAATGAGACGACCGCATATCAGCAAGCGCTTGGCAACAGTGGGAAGGAAAAACTGGCTTTTAAACAGCATGAAAGCTCCAGCAGAACCAGGCTCAGGGAGGGGTAGCTGTCTGGTTGGAGGTGACAGGAGATAGCGATGGTAAAATAAACTAGAATCGGGCAGCTAGCTTACCTACAGCACTATGAACTATATGATGCCAGATGCCATGAGAATCTCTGCCTTTAGAGATGTTAGTGTTTACTCCTTTTTTCTTTTTGCAAAGCCACTCTAGTTGTTTCTTCTGATCTTTATGCAAAGCTAAGCTAACCTGATTATAGAGGAGGAACACAATAGTTTTGAGTTTTGTGAAGAAAAAGGTTTATTTCCTATAATGTGAAAATTTCCTTTAAATAAAATCTACATGCAGTTTTAACTGCATGTGGCTCAGGTGGCAGAGCAGGCCAGCCACTAATCAGGAGGCGGTGGTTCGATCCCAGGCTGCCTCCTGGCTGCATGCCAAATATCCTTGGGCAAGATACTAACCCCATGTTTGCCTTCTGGTGGTGGTCAGAGGGCCCGGTGGCGCCAGTGTCCGGCAGCCTCGCCTCTGTCGGTGCGCCCCAGGGCAGCTGTGGCTACAATGTAGCTTGCCATTGCCAGTGTGTGAATGTGTGTGTGACTGTGTGAATGACTGAATGTAGTGTGAAGCGCTTTGGGGTCCTTAGGGACTAGAAAAGCGCTATACAAATGCAGGCCATTTACCATTTACCATTCTCTTCATATTGGTTGTATTGTTTTATTTATTTATTTTTTTTACTTCTGTTGACATTGATAATTTAGGGTTTTAGACTTCTTGGTCATACACGTCAGGTAAAGACGGCATCATTTGCCACAATCCGTACATCTTCTAAACTGGGCACCAAACTGTACTGTCACTCTGCCTTTCCATTTTATGTATATTAGCTTAGCAGTCTAGATCTCTAAGGTAGAGTTTCTATAAAATGCCACTGTCTCATGATTCCAGCTCTAATTTTCTTCTACATTTTCTCCTCTTGTCTTTGTGTCTGATGCTCTCCCATATATCATTCTCTACCCGCTTTCCTTTCTTTCCTGTCTTTGCTTATTTTCCCTGCACTCCTCTTCTTAGGCATTGCTCATTTCTTCCCACCTCCTTATATTCATGCTAGCTCATTGGCATGCCAGCTTGTCATCTGCATGCTTTTGAACTGTTGCTATCTACCCTCCATCCACAGTCACGCCGCCCTTCTTTTTTTCTTTCCATGACTGCCGAAAATAACGAATAAGAAACACAATTCATATTTAAGAGGTGCATTTTAGGCTTAGGTGAATTTTATCCTGATTCTGTACTTTAAGCCATATCGCATTAAAAAGCAGAATGCATCATGCTTTGTAGCTACATTAATGCCTTGCAGGTTTTTGAGCAGTGTTTGAGAAATGTTCCGTTTACTTATTAATAGAAAACACAGAGTAGATGGGAAAAATAGCTTTTGACATCCAGAAGTGTAAACTGATGTGTTCACTGCAGCTGCTTAGAAATGCCAGGCTTGACGCCATGTACAGTAGATGACCTTGGCATGATGACGTGGTGCATTTAAATGAGCTCTTAAAGACTTTTCGTTGTTTTGTCTTAGATAAAGTCTTACAGTGATGCTGCTCACACTACTTGGTGTTCAGTTTTTCTGTTTGCGATGACCAGGCAGTCTTAGGCCCCAGTCAGAAGCTGAGAGACTAGTTGACGACCCCACTAGGGAAAAGTGGTTGCAAAGCATTGTACAGTGCTGCACCAAAAATTTCTTTGTGATTGCCTTTTTGCCACTCGCAGATTCCCACAGTTGTCCATAGCTTGCATGGAAAATGCTGACTTGTTTACAAACACTCACCAAGTGCTTGCTGAGTCGTAATGAAACTATGAAAAGTGTAAAAATGGAGAAAAGTCAGCCATTAAGATGCCTCTGTTTCGGTATTGCATCACCCTCTTTCAAGTTTCACTCTCTCTGTGGTTAGTTAGCAGGATTTTGCAGTTTACAATTAGACCTCTCTCATGGATACTATGCAAATCTGCTTGGGGCCAAAACCATCCCCAGCAGGGATGGTTTTGGATGGTTTTGTTTGTTTGTATCCGTTGTTTGAGCTACAGAGGCTGAAGCATATTCATGTTTCTATGTTCTTTCTGATGTGTTCAAGTGGCAACGGGTGGACTCCAGGAAATTCAAGGTCTGTCTCGTAGTGCAGCGTAAAGCAAAAAATGTGAATGCTTTTGTAAATAAGAGATTTCAGGTTTTGATCTGAGCACATCTGTAACAAACAAATGCGCTAAAAGCAAAATTGCCATAGTTACGGGAAATCTGCATTGTAACCTACGGCATAACTGCAAACCCATCTGAACCCTACGCTGTAACCCGGCATGCACTTCACGAAAAATGTAGCTACACGGGTTGGCGCAGCCCACAAGTATCGTGATTGGCCAGTTCAGCTCCATCAAGTTTTTGAAGTTTTAGAAAGTAACAATCGTCATCTCAGGACAATGAATAATCATCATAGCAGCAAAATAAGGAGTCACAAATGTAACAAATTCTTGGAGGGAGATTGCAGAAACTGTCAGACTGGATGTGAGGGAAGGCACAGAGGAGTAATATGTTTACACCCGTAAACAACTGACCACCACAAAGAGTGGAGACCCAGGTGGGGGAAAAGTCCCAGCAATTCATTTTTTTTCTATCAGCATGTAAAACACAGGGACTCATCCACAAGATGATTAACATGTAACACACATAAATGAGATCGGCCACTTACGTAGGTTATGTCATGGGTTCTACAAAGATTCATCCCTGAAGCTGTTTCAATTTTTATGATTTTTTTTTTTTTTTTAAGTGTGGAGTACAAGTTTGAGAAGATTCATACAATCGTTTCATCTCTCTCTCTCTATTTCTGTCTCCCTCTCTCCCTGCTGTTCCTCCTCCCGCCCACCACCCCTCCCCCGTCTCTTTCAGGCCAAGTCATGTATCTGCCACATGTGCGGCGCCCACCTCAACAGACTCCACTCCTGCCTCTACTGCGTCTTCTTCGCCTGCTTTGCCAAAAAACACATCCACGAACATGCCAAGAGCAAAAGGCATAACCTAGGTATGACACACACAAACTCACGGTCCCATACTAAGCTTCCTCATTGTAACAAACATGGACGATATGCACACCCCAGCACAACACCATCGGGGCTAATTATACAGCCAGCGGCTAATGGAGGTATAGGCTAGTGCCACTGCATTGTAAACACCATGCATTTGTGTGTTTGAGACTATATTTATAAGCAGCTTTGGCTTTCTTATATTACTTATATTAATGCTTTTATTTCAGCTGTGACGCATCTGTGGTTTTTGTGAGGCATTCGGAGCCACAGGGGTGTGAGCTGTTACGCAAGCGAGTGCAACATAAATGCAATACTGCCTAAAAGACTTTATCTCAAGGGGCTTTGGAAAGTCACCTGTGTATTTTGGCCTCACGCAGCCTATTAGAGGGAAAGCATGCAGTATTGAACTTGCTAATGAATGGGCACTGAGGTCTGTCTTGGTGGCTGATTTAAAATTAAGCACATTTCCATTTTATTGGGTACACCTCCCTGCTCTCCAAAGCCTCTCAAAATCCCTGCAATCATTCAGCGGTGTGGGTATTTATAAGCAAGAACAATGAGATCTCTCTCAGCCTTGTTGTAGACAGGATTAATATTGCAGGTCAGTGAAGGTAACACAAAATATCACGAGCCATTGTTTTCAGTGATAATCTGTATATTTTTCTCCTTTTAAAATGACTGAGCAGGCTTTTATTTTGAGGAGCCAAAGCAAGCGCGCTGTATTTCTCACCACAGCTCGCACGGAGGCTGCTTAGTTGGCCTGGGCACACACAGTAAGAAAACGGGAAATTGTTGTATTTCAGTTCAATGAGTTATATATTTACAGGAAACAGACGCGATCTGGACAGCTCCAGATCTGAAGAAAGACGTGGGTGTTTGGTGAACAGTTGGTTGTTTTCGCCCAGTGCTTCGACTCCCACTGGGGAACACAGCCTGTGATAATCAAAACATTGCTCAAAAATTTAGCAATTTGGTCAATGATATTGCCCAAACTGTCAATATCAATATATTGAGAAAGCTGCTGGTAGTACCTGAACTCATATACTCAGATAGTATAAACAGCTGCTAAAGAATTCTGCTGTGTGCAGAAATCGCTGCTATTCACATCTAATTGGGTGAAAAATAAAAAGAAACACCACTGAGTACACTATCCTTCCTCCCTTGAACTATGTGTCTTGCAGCAGGCCTGAGACTTTCTGTGAAAGTTTGATTTGTTCTGAAACTCCCATTGGTGCTTGAGTTAAGTGGCGATTGGGGCCCTGTTCCAGAAATCAGATTTAACAAACTCTGAGTTCCAGAAAGGATGATCAGAGTTTGTTTAGTCGTCAGAGTAATGAAAGAACGGCATCGTCGATGGAGCTCTGATACCAAGAGTCACCATGGCAATGGGTAACTAACGATCAGAGCCTTCATGTGGACTGAGGAATATCATGCGAGCGCCGACTGTGACATTTATCTAAAAATGATAACAAGAAAGGGGAAAACGTGCCTTCCCCAGTTAAATAACAAACCCGAAGTTATTAAACCCAGAAACATTTGCATCACATGTTACTGATTCAGTCTATTTCTACGTTGATTCTTCACCAGCTCTCTGACACTCACAAACTCGCAGACTCCCACGAGGGTCTGTCATCTGTTAGAACAAGTGCATGAAGGCTAGACGTCATGTTGAGCCTTTTTTGTGCACCATAACCCTGCACACAGGGTTCATAGCATTGCGATGCTGTTTACAGTGTTACACAGGGGTGTAATATAACTTATTCAGGACTCATGTATTTGAATTTGGGCTTAATGAAGTTGTTTCTAAAGCAAATGACAAATGAGAAGTTTGAGTGATCAGAAGTGATTCTTTACTCTATGGAAGTAGTGATCTCAGCTACTGACAAGTACATGCTCCATAAAAACATCACAAAAGACTGAAACACAGTGCATTATGTACACATTCACACTGAGCATGCTAGCACTGGACCTGGTGTTAGCAGTGTACTATTAAAGCTGAGGGAGTGTAACTTTCATCGCAGGTGTGCAGATTTTTTTGTAAGTTGTGTCATCATGAGTGTTGAACAGTTGTGTTGCACAAGGAAGGTTGGTGTTTTTTCAAATGGTTACTTGACTAGCACAGCAGTGCAACCACGTCATCGGGATCATAGTTCCTGAATATCCTTAACAAGTCTTAAAAAGCACTGAGTGCTGTGATCTAAAAAGCTGCTATTCATTGTTATGAAAATGTCTTTGATCATTTTATCAAGAGTGTTAAACTGAGCTTGGAAAGCAGCGTAATGTCTGCTGTCATTGTTCATGTTAGAATCAGGATAATTGCTGACATCCGTCCTTTTTATTCTGCTTATCCAACTCATGCAAATTCCACAGAGAGAGACCTCAGTAACCAGTGGACTCAAACCCAAGACCTTCACTGTGCTGCCCATAATTGTTAATATCAGTTCAAAACAACAGAAAATAACTGCTCATATTTAGTTTTGTAGCTAGATGCTCACAGCAGACATGCTGCCTACTAGGTGGTAGATTAGCAGATTTGGATGCTAACAATCCATCCATCCATCCATTTTCATCCGCTTTGTCCGGGGCCGGGTCGCGGGGGCAGCAGCCTAAGCAAAGAGGCCCAGACCTCCCTCTC